GTAGAGGACAATTCCATATAACAGTTGAAATTATTCCTATTCAATGAACAAGAACAAAAAAATATAAGTACTAGAACTTCACAATATTATCATTTATCAGCATATTATATCATATATCATTGATCATAACTGAAGAGATGAACTTCTAGAAAATGATTAATTGAAACAGACATTAACCAAACCAATGTTCCTTTTATTGGAATTACAAATTACTAACTTTCCAAAGGCTAGTTAGCACTTAATTTCCTTAAAGTTCAGTTGCTTTTCAATTATATACCCATAATTTGTACTACGTTGCACTCTTGATAGAGAAACAAATTTTAGCTTGTAGTGTGAAATTTTAGCTTGATAAAGAAACTAAGTAGCACTTTATTTAGTCATGCCTAAAGGTCCTGAACATGTTTGTTTATTTATTTTTTATTTAACTGAATATAGAGTGCAAAACTGGGAAATCTTCGTGTATAAGAGTGCAAAACTAGGAAATCTCTGTGTATAAGAGTCAATTGATAAAGATTGAATATCAAGAAATGAAATTTATAACGAGGCAGCAAAATTACCTTTTTCTTCGTTGCAGGCCAAGCGCAACAGAGATAGCCACAGTACAGCGTGCTGGAGACGATGTTGACGGCAGAGCGGAGGTGGAGGCGATGTTGTTTCAGCTGTCGGGAGAGACGCGGGAGAAATAGAGGTGATTAGGGCTTAAAATGAAACATCAATGAGAGAGAGATTGGTTTTTATGTTAGTTAGCGTCAGGTTCGGGCTTAGGTCGGGTAGAAAATGTTAAAGCCAATAGCGCTGTTTAGCGTTATTACGCGCTATTAAGAGCTTTTCCAGTGAAAAGCGGTTTTTTTCTGCCATGACGCCCCGCGAACATCCTTATCGGAGCAGCCCACTGCCGTTTTCACGATTAGCTAGTTTCCTCTTTTTACAACACTGCCCAAAAGTAAATGAGTTGGTCAACTTTTTATGATACTTATTGCCTAAAAAAATTGTAGGAAATGAGTTGGAAACCAAGTTTTGGGTTCCTTTGCTTAAAATTTGATTTCTTTTTTGAAGGGAAACAACCAAATTGAAATTATCCCTAGAGGAGGGTGGGGGGTGAATAAGGTATATGCTAATCTAATCCGATATAATACCAAATTAAAACTTATTAACAATATTCTAGCAAGTATAATATACAATGAGATATATGCAAGGATAACAAATAAACAAAGGACGATATAAACTATAAGACAATGACGATATAGAAATATGATAAGCAATGAGTACAAGAACAATACATCAAGTCAAACACAAACACACAATATGATCACGGAGTTCGGTCAACCTCGATCTACGTCTCCACTCCTCACTCTCGAGGAGAATCTCCACTATCACAATCGGTTTTTAACGTTCACCGAAAACGTTTACAAGTTACACAATCGGTTTTCTAGCTCACCGAAAACTTTCATAACTCACACAATTGTAATCACACAATACACCCTCTTAAGTGTTAGTCTAGCCCGTATCACATTCCTCAAGTGTTCGGATTTACAACCTCTCTAGGCTTTGCTACCAACGACACTCTTGAAATTGACCCCGTCTTTCATCACACACTCCTCTAGGTGTACTCGTGTATTACAATGTGATCTCACAATGAAGCTCAAAGTACAAGTTTTGTTCTCTACAATGGATGAGAACTCAATGATGCCCACTCTCAAAGTTATAACCCCCACAACTCAAATATACAATATATGAAAATACCAAAAGCTCAAGTGAACTGTGTGTGTAAGCAATGAGTATAATAAAATGCAAACTTAATATAAAATCTAGTTTAATGAAAATGATAATCAACAAATAATATAAATAAAGCTAAAATTGAATTTAGCAAAACTTCTCTAAAAATCAAGAGAGAGAGATTGAGATTGAAGTTCAAACACGAAAGAAATGATCTCCTCCTCTTGTGAAAACTTCTTTACATAAACACTTGTAAAACAAACTCAAAAATACCCTTAAAACCTTTGTAAAATTGTTTAAAATTTTCTTAGATGTATCTAAGTGTTGAGGGTTGAGGGATATTTATATGTTCTTAATACAACAGCCCAAAGCCAAAGAACAATACAAAAAACGAGGCAAAAACCCTAAAAAACGAGATCGGGAAAAAACTAGCCGTTATGCAACGACTCTTTGGTCGGTCGACTGAATTTCAAGTGTCGATCGACCGAATTTGGGTCTCCGGTCGACTGGATGAAGTGTGTCAGTCGACTGAAATCATGCACATGCAGATTTGGCAGATCCTGAAACTTTTGCATAGCTGGTTTTATAAAATCAATTAAAAATATCAAATCAACTCTAAAAATCGTGAAATGTTGAGGGAAGTATTTAGACATGTAGATATACATTTTAGAGAAAGAATTTTTGAAATATCACTTCCCATTTGTGAGAAATAATTGTTTTAAAATAGATATTCCAGATTTTGAAAATTGCAGAAACACTTGAGTTTGTTATATTAATTTACCATAGTAAATCAATTGTAAAAATGATATTTTTTTGGGAAATGTTTATAAACATGTATATAACATGTTAGAAAAAGAATTTCTCAATTTTTATTTCCCATTTATGAAAACTCATTTATTTTGTAAACTGTTAAACAATATGAAATAGTCAAAATTTGATTTCAATGAAATCAATACAAACAAGTTTTGAAACACTTTTTAATAGATTAATAGACTTGAGAAAAGATATAAAATAGTGTAAACAAGTCTTTAATCCATAAACACATTGTTTTCCAAATAAAGATGATAAATATGAAATGAGTATTTATGTATATAAGTATATCGATTACTTTCATATTTATACAGTTAAACTTGAAAATGATAAACCGAAAATATGTATACATATTAGTTTCATATTTATTTGATAAAGTTGGAAGCTATAAAAACAAAAACGTGTATGTGTGTGATAATTGAGCTTTAAAGTATAGCACACACGGTATATAAGACCTAAACTGGAAATAATATACCCAAGCTTAGAAATCTTCGTTTGAGCTTGATCTTGGTAAACATGGATGAAGCGCAATATTGAGTCTTGTCTTGAGTGTGTAAATGCTTCATTCCAAATTTCCTCCAACCTCCAAGATGTCGTCGTTAAGCTCAAGTTCAACCAACCTCCAACATAGGGCCTTTGTGTAGGATACCTAACAATCAAATGCAAACTCCCGATAAACGTTGTTAGGAATTATTTGTAAATCATCAAAACAAGATTAGATAGTAGGCTCATAAATATGAGACCTAACACAAATAACCCCTTAGAAGAAACCTGGACTGGAGATATATATCCATCAGGGTTTAGAGTTTCTGCTATCAAACGACTGTGCCGTGGATCATCCTTGTATCTGAGATGGCCAAAATGTATAAAACTGGTTGAGATAATGAGTATTGGTTAAAAAGAAACCAGAAAATTAGCACCCACCTAGAACTCAAAGATTTGTTTCTTATTTGAAACACAATCCAATGAAAAATTTAAACATGAACTTGTTCATGGAAATGCATAGCTCCATGATATGTTGATTTCTAGTAAGAGATTAACTTTCTCAATGAGCCATGGAAAGAAAGGAATAGTTTATCAAAGTCTCTTACTTTTCACACCATCGACTTATAGCAGTCTTGCTCTGAGTCAAATATTGAACCTCTACGCCTCGATGGTGAAGTTCTTCGAGTTGAGAAACCAGAGGAAATGAATTCACTAGAGCAACCATGGAGTAGTTAGATATTATACCCAAGTAATAATTTAAAGGAAATAGAATACAAGTGTATGACTAGGTCACAAAGGCTTACGATGATTTCTAAACACCAAACGTAGCCTTTGTAATGCACAGGCAATTCATATTTGACAATATGTAATGCACAGGCAATTCATATTTGACAAACAGACTTGTGTTTAGACCATTACCTTCAATATTGCCTCCTCTTTTATGAGGGACCTTTCCGCTTCAAGGGAGGCAAAACCATAAACTCGATTTTCATTCTAGTGCTCGGCAGTTTAGATCTCATCGCTTTTCTCTTGACAGAATTAAATTGACTTTCTTCTTCCTCTCCTGCTTGTCTTCTTTTTCTTCATAGGGTTAAGGGCATGTTTGTCAATTCTAGAATAATCCACTTGGGTTATAATCCTTTCGTGATCCTAGTGGATTAAAATTTTAGGTGTTTGGTGAAGAAGGTGGTTTACAATCCATATTCCTTTTGCTAAAATGGCGAAAATAACCCTTAAAAGTTGGCGGAAAGAGAAGGGCGAAAGAGTGAAATGTAAAAAGCGAGGGGCATTTTTGTCTTTTACTTGGTCAAACATATGTTATAATTCACCAAACAAATAAGCTCCTAGATTATTTTTTTGACTGTAATCCAAGATATTCCACTCCACCAGACATGCAAAACTGGATTATAATCCAAAAAGTGGATTGTAATTCATTCTGACCAAGCTGCCGTACATGCTCTAAAACATATGATATTTTCATAGCATGAGAAAGCAGGTGGCATAATAGTATGCCACTGTAGAAAAGAGATGGTTTGCTATGTATTAACACACAAATACGACACTTACCTTATTCTTAAAAAAGGATTTGTACCTATTCTATTTTTCTTGTTTATATCTCTTGTGCATGTGATCTAAAAAGAATATTATATAAATATAAATATAGTATTTTAATTGTAAAAATGTCAAAAAATTGCATATTTTATTGAATAACCATACATATGAACAGCTGCTAAATATTTCCTTTCCATAAGGAAAGTAAGTGCAATCCTTCTTTCAGATATAAGCCAAGCAAATCACAATTAATGCCCTAGTCTGTTGACCGTTGATGACTATATGGGTGGGAATTTGGTTCACAGTCAGCGACTATCGGTTGTCATTCCCGCCCTAGCCATTCTGAATTAGTCAATGTGACTTCTTTACCATGAGAGAATATGATTTCTTTCCCATGAGCATGAATATGATTATGATAAGTTCCTTTTCACTTGCAGAAGATGTTATATGGAGTTAACATAATTGACAATAGCAACCTGAATCAAGGTCTGAAAGGTTGGAGTCCTCTAGGTTCATGTACTCTAAGTATATGTGACGGTGCACCCTATGTGCTTCCAGCTGTTGCAAGGGATTCCCTTAGCCACCATGAACCACTCAGTGGTCGTCATATTGTTGCTACTAATCGTACAGAAATCTGGATGGGCCCTTCTCAAACAGTCACAGGCAAACTTAAGTTGCACTTGACATACCAAATAGCTGCCTGGGTCCGTGTAGGATCAGGAGCAAGTGGGCCCCAAAATGTTAATGTTGCCCTCGGTGTTGATGACCAATGGGTCAATGGCGGGCAAGTTCAAGCTACGAATGACAGATGGAATGAAGTAAGCGGGTCATTTAGAATTGAGAAACAACCATCGAAAGTTATAGTTTATGTTCAAGGTCCTCCGCCAGGTGTTGATCTGATGGTTGCAGGGCTTCACATGTTTCCTGTTGATAGGAAAGCACGATTCGAACTTCTCAAGGAGAAAACAGATAAGGTACTTTCTCTTATCCTCTACGAGCACATATTGTTCATGTAGAGTCTTGAGGGTAAATTTGTGAGAAGAACAGATTTTAAAGTATCCAAACTTTACTGTCTTATTGCAGGTCAGAAAGCGTGATATTGTCCTGAAATTTCGAGGGAAGGAAAGTAGCAATGTTCCCGGTGTATCTGTGAAAGTTACACAGGTGAAGAATAGCTTTCCCTTTGGTTCGTGCATCAATAGGTCAAACATCGAGAACGAAGAATTCGTTGATTTCTTCTTGAGAAATTTCAATTGGGCAGTGTTTGGGAACGAGCTGAAATGGTATGCAATTGAGCCAGAACAAGGGAAGTATAACTATAAAGATGCTGATGAGATGCTCGACTTCTGTAAGAGACATGGAATAGAGACTAGAGGCCACTGCATCTTTTGGGAAGTTGAAGATACTATTCAGCCATGGGTCCGATCATTGAACCAGAACGATCTGATGATAGCCATCCAAAATCGCCTTAGAGGTTTACTATCTAGGTACAAAGGTAAGTTCAGACACTATGACGTAAACAATGAGATGCTTCATGGGTCTTTCTATCAGGATAGGCTAGGAAAAGATATCAGAGCCTACATGTTTAGAGAAGCACATAAGATGGACCCTTCCGCTACTCTTTTTGTTAATGATTATAATGTTGAAGACGGATGTGATTCCAAATCTACCCCTGAGATGTACGTGCAGCAGATTCTTGATTTGCAAGAAAGAGGTGCACTGGTCGGAGGAATCGGTATACAAGGCCACGTCAGTAATCCGGTGGGCCCGATTGTTTGTGCTGCCTTGGATAAGTTGGAGATATTGGGTCTCCCCATTTGGTTCACTGAACTAGATGTTGTTGCATCAAATGAACATGTTCGAGCTGATGATTTGGAGGTTATGCTTCGTGAAGCCTATGCACATCCTTCGGTTGAGGGAATTGTGCTGTGGGGATTTTGGGAATTGTTCATGTGCAGGGAGGGTTCTCACTTGGTTGATGCTGAAGGTGACATAAATGAAGCTGGTCAACGGTACCTTGCTCTAAGGAAAGAATGGATGTCGCACGCTGATGGACATATCAACACCGATGGAGAGTTTAGATTCAGAGGGTATCAAGGGACATACAATATAGAGGTTACTACACCACGGAAGAAATCATCACAGTCTTTTGTTGTTGAAAAGGGGGAGACTCCTCTTGTATTAACCATAAACTTATAGTTTGTTTCATGATTATAGTTAATACAAATAGTAGAACTATATGATATCTGAAAAGTGCTTCTTGGAGGTTCTACATGGAAGCCGAGGCTGTTGTAGCATTTGTCGCCTTTTATACTGAATAAAATTACACTTGTTTTTTATTCTCCCCGTATTCTTTTGTGCCCGTACACAACCTTGATGTACATCGTTATGAACCTCTCTGATGTTAACTCTCTTGCAATTGTAATAGTTGTATGTACTATTTGCACTGTGTGTTAATTTGCGTACTCTGCAATCACAATCTAAATTTGAATCTCGCTTTTCTTTTCTCTGTCCATTTGCCTAACTTCAAATGACGAGTCATGTTTCGTTAACTTGGCAGAAAGAGTTGTTCTCTTAACTCATCCGCGGTGAAACTTCGTTATTAATATCGTGAGTTGGCTATGTGAGTTAGTTTGCCATTCACTGTTCATTTTTTTTACACTTTCTTTCGTCATTATCTTGTTTAAGAGTTGCCTTTTCCAGTTGCTCATAGGAACGAAGATATTGTAATGCGGATGTGCTGATGATCACGCCTATCTTTCACCAGGTACTGGTCAAGGTCTTTAAAGAGATTTATATTAAGTTGCTGTTATGTTTACCTTCGAAGCTAAGCAGATATTGTATGTGCAGTCATGAAAGAATGTCAAAGAATATATAAATCATTGCTTTGCTTTCATTCTAAACAATGGAACTATGAACAATTTATTGTTAGGAACAAACATGAATCGTTATCATTGCCCTTATTAATTACTTAACCTCAGTAATAAGTAGAACTTCAGTTTGTCATGATAATTAGTGTTTCTTAAGGTTGAAATCCATGATGGGGTTTCCGCGAGCAGTTCATAGATACAGAGTCTTTAGTTTTCCCGTTTGTCTTTTTGAAATGTGCATTTCTCTGAACTAGGAAGACTTGTTAATTAAGAAAAATCAAACTTATGGTGCTGAACTAGTCCTAACTAGTATCTCGACATCTTAGGTTCCTTTATTTGATTGATATAGTTCTGCGAAATTTGGACAATGATTATGACATATTTTGAATGATCTTGAATGTAGCAATTTCATCTGACTAAAGTGCGATTTCTTCTTTACACTCACATAAGTGGTTTACGGATGCCAACATATATAAATACCTCGGACTGCAGAAGGTATTTTAAGTAACCGCATTTTGTAGCCTAATAGGCGAGGACTATGGGATTCAAAATCCTCCTGTTTTCTGATGTTGATTCAAAGCATGATGGTTATTAGCTTGCGAAGTAACACTGTGATCCTGGCCAGACCAAACCTTTGAAGATATATAACGATAGGAAAAGAATATAATCGCAGTCTTCGAACTCTTCATATTTGCCAAGGTGAAGTAGCACAAAAGTCATAAGCTATTCTCTTATAGAAGTAGGATAAAATGAAGAAAGGGCAAATCCCCAAAAGTCAGTTGCCTACTTATCATTCTTTCCAGATCCTTTTTGAATGCTAAACTTTCACCTCATACTATGGAATTTATATGTCTCTATACTGCCGTTAGTTTTCATGTACGTGAGCATAATATTCCTTTGCTTATCTCTCAAGATATGCTTGCTTCACAACAAAACTAGACATCTTCCTTCCATCTTTTCCACATGACCATGTAGCTTATTGCATTCTTATATATATATATATTCAACACCTCTAGCTCTTTCGTGTGGCATCATGGGCACAATGAGCGTTAGTTCAGTTCTAATTGTGTTCTTCTTTGCAAATCTCCTTCGACTTGTTCTTGGCTCTGTAGTCTCTACAGGAAATTTCAACAAAGATTTTTTTGTCACTTGGTCTCCTAATCATGTATACACTTCGCCAGATGGGCATTACAGGACCCTGAAGCTAGATCAAGCATCTGGTATACTTTAAATTGTTAATATTACTATTATTAAGATGGACATACCCTATGACTTTTACTTATTTTTAATTAGCTAACCTATTTTGACCTGTCAGGTTCATCTTTTGCCTCAAATGAGATGTTTTTGTTTGGGCGGATCGACTTGCAGATCAAACTAATCCCGAACTACTCTGCAGGCACCGTCCTTGCCGTTTATGTGAGTAGTTTAGTTTCCCTCAAGATACATTATGCTGTTTATGGTTATTTACTTATACATCGGAAGATCATTTAAATGCAGCTCACTTCTGAGCAACCTAATCGAGACGAGATAGACTTTGAGTTTCTAGGCAACGTTACAGGCCAACCGTACATACTCCAAACGAATGTATATGCAGATGGTTTCGACAACAGAGAAGAAAGGATTTATCTATGGTTTGATCCAACCAAAGACTTCCACACGTATTCAATCCTTTGGAACCTTCATCAAATAGTGTAAGAGATCAAATCCTCAAATCTAATTTTAAAAGGAATAAATTTCACAAAACCCCCTGAACTTTATAAATCGTAGAAACACTCTGAACTTTCAAGGTTATGCTGAACTCTGTGGACTATGGCAAGTTCCAGTGGATGGCATTGACGGGTAAAGTTAAAAAGTCTAATCAACCCTGTTACCTTTTACCTATTCTTACGCGAAAAGGATAGTATAAAAGATATTAGCAGATATGGGTCAAGTTAGGTAAAGTAACTGTCTGTCAGCCATGAAAGTTTGAGTCCTAATATGTTGTATTACAGGTTTATGGTAGATCAGGTGCCAATTAGGGTTTACAGAAACCATGCAAACAAAGGTGCTGGATTCCCGAGATGGCAGCCAATGGCGCTAAAGGCGAGCCTATGGAACGGTGACAGCTGGGCGACACGCGGAGGCAAGGACAAAGTTGATTGGTCGAAGGGGCCCTTCATTGCATCATTGAGAAATTACAAGATTGATGCTTGTGTTTGGAAAGGAAATCCGAGGTTTTGCAGGGCTGGGAGCTCTAAGAATTGGTGGAACATGCCGAGGTTCAGTAGCTTGAATTGGACTCAGAGGAGGCTCTTTAGATGGGTGCGAAAGCATCATGTTATCTATGACTACTGTAAAGATCCTGAGAGGTTTCAGGGTAAACTTCCAGTGGAGTGTTCTTTGCCAAAATACTAAGGAGAAGAAACGTGATGGCTTGATAGAGAATAATATCTTTGGAAAGTACTTGTTGGATGAAAAAAGCTGGAGTGAGCTCTCAATTCTTTGCAAGGAAAGAACTTGTCTGATGGCTGTATATTCTTTTATGCCTTTTCCTTGATGAAAGGCAACTTTTGGATGTGCGTAATTAAAGATTGAGGGAATAATTTGATCCAGTGTTGCTTGACCCTGTTGTCATATCTTAAATCATCAGTTGATTAATAAGAAAAGCCATTTCATGGCTACCCTGAAATTGGAAATCTATTGTGGCACTAAACACTATTTTAGAGCCTAGATGAGTTCGTACATGAAAAATCTAAAAGTTACAAAAATTAATACCTACATGTATTTGCTGAAAATTAGGTTACTAAAATGGAGATTCTCAGATCGCAAGGCTTGTCAACTCCTTTAATAATAATCCTCCAGTTTAAATATCTGAACGACATCCTCAAATTACTATAGTTTTTCCATCGTTACAAGGATCAACAAAAAGTTTCTTGCTTGTCACGATAATATGACTAATATGAGCAATTGCTTGGTGTTTCCTCATATTATCTGCAGCTGTTAGTTTTAACGGCAACGGGATCAGAACAATAGGGGCAGTCCCCAAACAAAACATCAAAGGACCTGCAAAATTTTAAGTACATGCTGAAATTTAAGATGAAACTATATTTAAAAAGGGCAAGAAAGTTATCCTATCAACATACTGTCTGGTTGTAGTGATCGAACGTAGCCAATCTCTTAAGCATACAGTGTGAAAAGCTTTACTGCAACTTGAATTCTCACAGGTATAATCAGGAGATCCTCCACTGTTAACTCCAAGTTCATCATCTGCAGAAGCGATATGATCAATAGAAAATATTATGCGGTTTCTCATTCTGCAAACTGCAAAATGGACTCACCAATAGGCAGATACTGAGCGTAACATATTCCACAATCAGTTGTTTCTTCATCCTTATTGCCAAGAGTAGGAGCTTTTGGTAATGTATGCTCCAACAAAGTTGCAAGATTTTCATCAAATCTTTTGTCCTTTTTCCTGTACATTAAAGTGTTGCAAAGAAAAGAAAAGAAAAGAAAAGAGTGCACAGTTTAATTGCAGCATACTTTGTGCTTATGAACTGATACTAGATGCAGAGAATCAGGTTTAGAAGGATGCCAATTCAAATAACTTTTCAAATTTATCTTGTGTTAAAAAATTGTTAGTTTAAAATAGTTTGCCTGTCTAACATTGTAATTGGAGATACATTGCTTAAGTTTCAATTTCCAATCTTCCCGTTTTATGTTCTTTGGAGTCATAGAGCATTAAATTGTTCGTTTTACAAAAGGTTTGTGGAATAACAGTGCCTTTCTTAAGGTCAAATTTTCTTCCATCACTTGTATTATTAATTAACGATTCTTCTCAGTATATAGTTAAGTCGTTCAGTCAAGAGAGAGGCTTGTGGTGAGTCAGAATATAGTTTGTTCAGTTGTCCCTAAGAAAAATATAATGTAGTCACCTGTTGTCCCTCAAATTGTTTCAGCAAATTATAGAGGAGGCTAAAGGTTAGACTAGATCAGTTTCATGGTGGTTTCATTGGAAATTAGAATTAGAAGCAGCCAGAAGACTGACTGCATAACATGCTCTGCTCCCGTGGCTATTGATATGGGTAATCTAACAATAAAACAAATTCCAGGATCCCCCCCCACCAAAAAAAAAAAAAAAAATTATCTACTGTCTTTTTTTTTTGGTTCTTTTGAATTATAGATTATTTGGCAAAAAACAAATTATAGGCTATTCCTAAAAAAAGTCCACTTTTAAATCTTTTGTGTTTAATTTTGATTTGCAGGTTCTCTCCATGAAAAGAAGGGAGAAAAGTTTGTATTTGACAGCTCAAATTGTTTTAATAGAATAACAACTTCATATCATATGTGACTGGTCCATAATTGCCTCATCAAAAATCAGAAGCTATCAAGAGATTTCATATGGATTCTTCGGCCTATGATCACAACTTCATAAGGGCTATTACTTAAGATGTGCTTATTCTGATGCTCTACAGGGGTTATATGGATGCTGCTGTCTTTTTTTTTTAATCTTCCTATTTTGTAGTCCTCTACTACTGAATTTTCAGTACTTAAAGAAAATTTTTAGTAGTTTGGTTAGACTTCAGTCAATAACAGATGATAGCGATCATAATGAGGATGTTTTAGGTAGGCAGTGATTGGTGGTGGTTGTGGACTGGTTCTTTTACTTTTTAATTTTTCCCAATCCTCCACAATGCCACTCTTCAAAGTGCCATATAGGTAGCACAGCACAAGTTTTTCAAATGTGATATACTTGAAACAAAGAAACTTCAAAACTCTAAGTCCAACAATTTACCGATTCCCTTATCTGAAAATAAAGTATTGTCAGATATTATCTAAAATCATTTAAGATGTCCTGAACAATTATGAGATTGTATAATCTTCAAGCAATAAACATCATGACAAACAAACAATAAATACATACAAAATAATATTAATGCTACAGTACAAAAGAGCATACCAGTGTCTACCATTTTTCTTCCAGTTTCTCCACAGTGGTTCTATTACTGTATTTGGCCCCAGGAAACGGCACCTGAACCATCAAAGTAAAGTATGAGTATAAAATTAACTAATACAGAAGATCTATCGCCCTTATAGATAATGAACTTACTCTGGTAAAGATTTTGAATTATGAGCATCAATAGATAATAAAAGATAGCACTCGTTTCCTAAACAAAAGCAGACTGAAAACTAAGAATACATAATAACACATAGTATAAACTGATAGCTGACGAGAAGAATAGCATGTTTTTTCAGAAGGCTCACCAAGGTTAATCCGCCGGTGTGATGCAGCATTAGATGGCTGTTTTGGGTCCATAACCCAAAGCGACCTATCAATTTCATCCATGGTAGACCAAAACTCCTGCAGCTTCTCTAAGTGCTGTTTGTTGTAAAGACGTCATAGTAAACATAATACATACTACATAGTATAAAAATACAGAAGCGGAAAGGTCTAAAGATGATCTACCGATTTACGTACCTTGTTGAATTGCCTCACAATATCTTTCAATCTGGAGTTTTTTGACCACTCTAACTCACAGATGTAAGGAACATCCTACAACAATTATAACAAACATGGTACAAGTTAGATTAACTGTAAAGGTAGAATTTTAGGGAGATGCATTCTTCAATTCTATAGATAATAATTTAACCTCGACTATGGAAGAGAAGGCCTTTTTTCCTTTTCATATTAACTATAAAAAACAACTTGCCGATTGTTCATTAACAACAACAACAGCAACAGCAACAACAACAACAACAAAGCCTTCGTCCAAAAATATTTGGGCTGGCTAAATGGATCATACTCCATCATTCAGTTCCCATTAAGGATTATACACTCCACTAACTAATAATTACCATATCCTTCTTAATGATTCATCACATAAGACTAATTGCTATAATAATTAGTCAAACTGACCGCGGAGATCGAAGGAGAGCTGCGAGGATAGTTTCTAGGCAACGTGATCTCCAAAGTATGGGTTCTTCCTTTCTTATCTCTGAGGATGAAACAAGCAAAAGGAGATAACTTTGAGATTTATGAAGTGCGAAATTGAGAACTGATCGCTAAAAAAAAAAAAAAAGAATTAGTGACAATTCTCACTCACACAATGCGAAAGCTGAGAGAGGATAGATCATCTTCCAAGTTCAACAGGTGCTCCCATCCAACCTCTTCAATCTGAGGTACAAAACACCAGCATATTCTACCTTAAGGTAAGTGTGGGATGAGAAAGATTAGGGTTTTTTCTTATCAGAGTATGAATTGAACTGGGAATAGGTAGGAGTAATCAATCAGTCATTCAAGAACTCGATTTTTCTAAAAAAAAAATAGCCCTAGAGAAAAGTTTGGGGGAGTCATCCGTTACCTGGGAGTAGATGGAACGGTAGAGAGACGCTGGCGGCGGTTCCATGATACGCATCAATCATACATCGGCCGTGGAAAAGCACAATTAACGTAGCACATAAAAATGAAGCGAGGAAAAAATATTTTCGATTTGAGAAAAGACTACGAAAAATCTACTTTATTTTGTGGCTGGTGGGATTCGAGCCCAGGTCTCTACGGCCACAACGTAGAATTCTCACCACTAAACTACAGCCACTTTCCTGACAAACGTCTTGGCCTTTATGTATAAGAAGGACAACTAAACTACGAATATTTTACACTTTAAAGTAAGTTAAAAAGTAGAGTAGGGAAGTAAAAAAACTTTGAGAAGGCAAAAGCTGGAAACTTCTGCTTTTATGGGGGTAATTATAATTATATATATATATATCCCCATACGTTCAAAGCTAGAAAAAAAAGGGAGGTTCTTTGCATAAAACTAGGCTTCATTTGGAGACAAATAAAACAGCACCATCTTACTAACAGCCAAACACAAAACTCATATGCCAAATATCCGCATGCACTCTTAAACCTTAGAATATAACTAACTTTTTAACTACCTTCTTGAACACCTGCGTATAGTTACTACACTTGATAATTTCACCCCCATATAGTTACTCATATGCCAAATATCCTTACATTCTTAATTGTAGCTTACAATTAAAAGATTTTTAATATAATAAGTAAACAATATCATTCAAAGAATTCACAAATGAAGAAGTGCTACTGGTGACAATCAAGCCGTGATATTTATCTACACTAAAAAATGTGGAGGAGGAAAATAGTCCGAACACTATTTAAGCTGTGAAATTTCTTCCTATATATGAGCCATTTAAACTCGGAAAAAGAATTACAAGTGTATATATTATATGTAGGAAAATCGAAGAAAAGGAGCAATTTGTTGAAACTAAATTATTTGATGGGAAATTAGAAATGTCAAAATTTGTAAGATAAAGGGCTATATTGTAGTGATCGTTTTGAGCAACATAAAAGTGCCTCTCGGGAGTTATTTTATTTTCAAAACGAAATATGTTAGACCCTAGAGGGGGGGTGATTAGGGTCTTATGCTAATCTAATCCGATTAAATGCCAATAAAATAAAACTAATTAATTAAGTTTACCTAAGCAAGTATGAATCACTACAACAAGAAATATGTGCTAGGATAAGCATATGACAATAAGATATATGCATAATAAGAGATATAGCAGATGTAATGTGCAAGGATAATATAACACACAAGGTAGATAATCTAAACAAGATAGTGATGATAAGTAATGAGCAAATGCACAATGGCGATATAAGAGATTATGACGCTAAATAAAAGGTGAACGGCCAAAAGCACACTCAACACAATCAAGTGTCACGGAGTTCGGACTCTTCGTCCTAATCGTCTCCGCTCCCCACTCCGCGGGGAGAAAATCTGTTGAATATCATTTCTCCAATGATAATTGTTTTTGAATGATAAACAATTATATTGTGTTTGATACTAAACTTCATATCAGATTCAAATATCAGAATATGAAACAAGTGCAAGTGGATATCAAGGCATTTTAAGTAATAGAAAATGAGAACAAAAGATAATGTATTTGTATTTTTCTTTCTTTAGAATATATTTTGTAAGCAAGCCTTGATGCACACACACGCACACACACTCACACATTTTAGAACACACTAACACAGGCTTAGTGTGTTGGTTAACTATCGAAATCCCTAATGTTAACCATTAGAATAATAGTTAAAACTAATTATAAAAACTCATTATTTCTGAATTTTGATCTTAATAATCGACTATAATTAGGATAGTATCGACTCTGCATTATTAGTGCAAATACAAAGCGATATTCTGTCTTTTACAGTATATGTGCACTAGATAGAGATTATAGCTCACTAACTGAGATGTTTGACAGAAACATAAGTTCTATCTTTTTAAGCAGTGTAGTGCGACTAATGACTACAGTATCGACTACTGAAGAAAATATCATAAGTTTTCAAGTTTCTGTTTGAAACTCAAGTGTAGTCGAACTAAATTATCATTATAGTCGACTACTAGAAACATTTTCGCGAAAACTGACAGAAGTCTGTTCTGACTCAAGTAGTCGACTGATTAAGTGACTACAGTAGTCGTCCGACTAGCAAGAGACAGTTCAGTTTTCAAGAATTTGAATATTTTGAGCAGTTGCTTGGCCGTTTTTAAACGTTTTTAAACTTTTAAAAAACATTGTCTTTTCAAGGGCTATATATAGGTTATTTGTTCAGAAAATTGGAGACATATACATAT